CAAAAGGCAAGTAACAAAATAGCATAAAAAATAACAAAGAATGATACTATTATAAATAGATAGGGATATGAAAAAAGAATACTATTTAAATAAAATTTTGTAATAAAAGAGAATGGAAACTACAATAACCAAAATTGTAGCAACTATTAGCCCTAGTTCTAAGTGCGTTATTTGCACTATTATTATCCTGTTTTAAAGACCAGGAGGCTGAAGCCCCCTGAGGTAAGGGCCCTGGTTACTGATCAATTAGAAACTGGCCAAATCAGGAAAGAGGAGTTACTTGTAACATGGAAATGGTTTAATTTAACACGAAAGTGTCCCAATTCCACTTTCCCAAGATAGGCACTAGATTTTATCTTTTAAATTTATTTCATTCTTTTTATTTCTACAGAACATGAAGTATTTTATCAGACAAGTTGGTGAAACAGAAATGGTTTAGTTAGGCATACACCAATTCTTTGATATCCCTGAGCCGAATAAAAGCACAGCAAACATTTCTGGAGGTCAATACAGTGATAATGTGTCATAAATGTGTCATAAAATGGTTTTTTTCCCCTTGACCTAACGACTCCTCTTCTATGAATTCATCCTAAGAAAATACCAAACAAATATGCACAGATAAATTGTTAGTGGTCTTTATCACAGGGTTGTTTGGCAAAACCCCACATTTCCCACAATAGGGAAATCAATAAATTATGGCGCACCCATACAATGTAACTCTGTAAATGACTGAAGATGATAATGTAGGTAATGATGCTGTGTACAGTTTACATGGAAAGATGTTAATGAACTAATGAATGGAAAAGCAGGTTGTGCAACCGTATACACAACATACACAACAAATTCATGTGTTTTCATCAAATGTACCTGTATGGGTATAGGGTTGGAAGACTGGGTTGTGGGCAGATTTGGCTGGTCTAATTTAGTTTTGTTTATGTGTTTTTTCTAATTAAAAAATTAATACTTGGTTTTGCTTTGGTATTTTATTTATTTTTAAAAATAAAAATTGTGTATATTTAAGGTGTACAATATGATTTGACACACATATACATAGTGAAATGATGACCACAGTCAAGCTCGTTAACACATCTCACATGGTTATATAACAAATATGTATGACAAGTGTAATAAAAGGATTTTTGTCTTTAAATCATGCAGTAAGAAGTTCCTTCTACATGTGCTATTAGGTTATATAGGCACTAGATTAATAAAATACTTTTAAGCCAAAATCTGAGACCCAAAATTGACAATCATTGACAATATATATATTTTTATAGCTCTAAGGAGGTGCAATTGATGCACACATTAAGGTATACAATTTGATGAGTTTTATTGGTGTATACACCTATAAAACCACCACCACAATCAAGGAACACTTCTATCACCCCCAAGTTTCCCCAAATTTTCTAATGCCCCTTTTTTATTCCTTCCACCCTTCTTTCCTTATAGATTAGTTTGCATTGTCTATAAATGGACTCATACAGTGGGTGTATTTATTTATTTTTCTGATTGCT